AACAAGAACCCAAAAAGTGGGACAAGAATGGGAACAAAGTGGGAACAGGAACCCAAAAGTGGGACAAGAATGGGAACTAAGTGAGAACAGGAACCAAAAAGTGGGACAAGGATGGGAACAACGTAGAACAAAAATCGGGAACAAAATGGGAACAAGAACCCGAAAGTGGGACAAGAATGGGAACAAAGTGGGAACAAGAACCCAAAAGTGGCACAAGAGTGGGACAAGAATGGGAACAATGTTGCTCTGGGACAAGAATGGGAACAAAGTTGGAACAAGAACCCAAAAGTGGGGCAAGATTGGGAAGAAAGTGGGAACAAGAACCCAAAAAGTGAGACAACAATCCAAAAGTGGCACAAGAATGGGAACCAAGTGGGAACAACAACCGAAGAGCAGGACGAATGTGAAACAAAGTGGGAACAGAAACCCCAAAAGTGGGACAAGAATGGGAACTAAGTGAGAACAAGAACCCAAAAGTGGGACACGAATGGGAACAAAGTGGGAACAAGAACGTGAAAGTAGGAGAAGGATGATCTCTTAGCTGTGTCCTCTCACCAGATAGCCGGGCCTTTGCACTATCCTTGCTTATGCATTTTTATACAAAATGTATAAAGCAAACAAATCCCTCGCTCACGTTGCTGCACCGCTTAAAAATTTACTTCAAAAATGAATCCTGCTGTATCAAACAAATTCGTTGTCTGCTCTGCCAACCTAAAAACGACAAACGCAAAAACTCACGACTCGACCGCAGCTGCCAAGCATATTAGTTTGTCTTTTTCCGCTTTGAATTATTTCGTCCTGAAACGTATGGGGTTTGAAACATCTTCCAATGTTATCAATTTGACAACACCAATGCCACTTGGCACAATGGCCCCCCACCCCAAGCAGTAGAGGGAAGGGCACAGACAATGGGTAGCACCCAACAACAATGGGGATCCACCCCAACAATGGGAATCCATCCCGACGACAATGGGAATCCAGGAGTTGCTCGGAACCAGGAAACAACGAGGGAAACGCGGGGAGGGAGAGGTGGGAGCGACAATTTCCCTCGATTGAGACCAAACACTACCACAAACAAACAATGATTCTTGTTTAGTCAGAATGACAAAAATGGTTTACAAAGCAAAGGCCATGACAAAACTAGTTTCACTTGAATTCCACAATTTAAGATTTAACCAAACATCACCTTCACAAAACCGACGTTGGACATGGCACCACAATCCTCCACAAGCTCTGCACAGTTGATTTCCAAACAAACGAAATGAAATCGAATGAGTTTCATCGTTCAACATTCCAAGGTTCCGTTTACTATGTTTCAGAACCCTTCCTCAAACCCGAATGCCAAGTTACAAATAACAAGGAAGGTCCAGGAAAGACCGGAGTACAAACTAGATGAGTCCAAGCCAAACATGGCCGACAAACCATGCCTCGCTAAGGCACAAACAAACAACGCCAAACCCCAAAACAAAAGCACCAGAAGGTACAGTCAAAGGCAGACGCTGACAAAGTTGGTTAAGCACAGTTAGAGCTACAAAGATGAAACGGGAGCAACTATTACCCAAGAAGGGGGAGCAAGGGATACAGAAAACAATTGGACAAGGACAGCACAATAGGCCGAGGCCCAAGACCCAAAGTAGAGAGGACGTTGACACTGCACAGCCAATAGATAGCGCTCTCAATTTCATTGAACGCTACCATCTCTTAGCCTTTACACTATCCTTGCTTATGCATTTTAAACAAAATTTATAAAGCAAACAAATCCCTCGCTCACGTTGCTGCACCGCTTAAAAATTTACTTCAAAAATGAATCCTGCTGTATCAAACAAATTCGTTGTCTGCTCTGCCAACCTAAAAACGACAAACACAAAAACTCACGACTCGACCGCAGCTGCCAAGCATATTAGTTTGTCTTTTTCCGCTTTGAATTATTTCGTCCTGAAACGTATGGGGTTTGAAACATCTTCCAATGTTATCAATTTGACAACACCAATGCCACTTGGCACAATGGCCCCCCACCCCAAGCAGTAGAGGGAAGGGCACAGACAATGGGTAGCACCCAACAACAATGGGAATCCACCCCGTTTTTCATTCGAAGACCTTGTTAGCACTGTTACGACCTCGCTCCAAGCAGCTGCGCATATAGGATATGAAGCATTTGGAATCACTCATAATTGGCATAGTTCCTCAGACGGTTTCAAGGCCTTCTCAACCACTCCACCAATCATGTCAGCTGCTTGTTGGGGTTCCTGCCGACTCGGCCAATCGGCTATGTTAGACTTTGTAGGTACCCTTGACACCCAACACAAAGACTGCAAACCTTCCCACAAGCGATATAGCTCGGTCACCAAAACGAAAATAGACAACGTACGGGACGTGGCTTTTGCAATGACATCCCTCACCGCATTGTTGTCCACAAAGCACAACACTCGACGCCCTTGAAGGAATGAACCAAGCTCCGCAAACGCAACCAGCAGTGGTAATAGCTCAAGCTCAGCAATGAGTTGAGCTTTCCCGAGAGACTTCCAATGAACCACAAGCTCAGGCGGCACCAACACTTCATAAACTTTGCGCACGCCGGCTGAAGGGTCTATCAAAACGATGCCAGCTCCTGCAGGAACAGCCGAGTCTGCTTCCCAAGCTCCATCGGTAAAAAGCAGCACGGGTACAGTGTTTGTGTGTATGGACACCGCCTTAGGCACTGCTGTCTCAAAGACAAATTTGATGTATGCCCCCACTACTGCCAGAGACAATTGACAAGAGTCATCCCAGCCATCAGCAGCCACCCTTCAGAAAAATTGCATTGCCGGTTTAAGTGGAGAGCCCATGTATTGCCCTTGTGCAAAGTTCAGCTGCCCATGGATGGATGAAGCCTCACCAGACTCCACCCGGCCTTCCGACAGCAGACGCAAAATGGTTGTAGACAACGATTGCACCCTAGGCCCTAGCGTCTTTGTTTCGAAGGGTAACTTCTCCATTTGCTACGCGGCTCAGGTCCGCACTGACACCGAGAACGCTGAACACTTGGTGAAATGGTTGCGCCTTGTCCCCATCCCTGGCAAACCGCCAGCCTAGGGCATCCAGTAAACCAGCCATACATTCATTGGCTGTTTCTGAGGTCTCGGACATCTCTACCCAGGGAAAATCACCATAATAAACCGTATGCCGCAGCCGCAACAGTGAAGCTGATATATGCCACAGGGATCGGGACACTCGGTTGAACCCAAAAGTGGGACAAGGATGGGAACAACGGCGTCTTTGCTGGTGTTTTGGTTGGTGTTTTGGGCTGGTGTCTTTGCTG